TGACCAGTCTTGAATTAGTACATATAAGCTACTCGGCTGCCGGAAGCCAGATTTTCCTTCTGGAAGGATTTCTTGCTTCATAGAGGGCTTCAGTGGCGATATTTCGATTCTAAGTTCTGTAGACTGAGGATTCTTGGTTCCAGGGTCATGCTAGCGACATGGGTTCCTGTCTCACACCTGCGCAGTGCTGTCTCTGTAAAACAACTCAAGGTTTGATTAATTAACAACCCATTTAAGGAAGCAAAACCAGTTTAAACTGGTCAGTATTTTATGTGCTGCTACACAACCCTTCTGCGTCACTCATGGATTCTGAAGGTGAGGAATTCAAGCAAGTCACAGTGGGAATGGTTTGACTCTGTTCCATGTTGTCTGAGGCCTTAGTTGGGAAGATCCAAACAGCTGGTGATGACTTAGCAGCTAGGAAATGGAATTATCTGGAAGTTCTGGGGTGACTCCAATGTTGGACTCAGCTGGGGCTGTCAGCCCACCTACATGTGGCCTCCCATGGCCTGGGATCCTCACAGCATGGTGGCCTCTGGGTAGCTGGACTTTGCTCTGGGCTCCGAAAGTGAGCATCCCGGTGCACAAGGCAGAGCCACACTGCCTGTTTGATTTAGTCTGGAAAGTCACACAACATTGCTTCTGTCAGATTCTATGGGTAGAAGCAGTCACAAGCCTGCTCAGATTCAAGGAGATGAAAGATAGAGGCCCTTCCTCAATGGGAGAAAGGTCATTGAATGTTATGGCTGGTTTTTGTTGTTTCTGTTGTTTGTTTGTTTGTTTTTTAAATCACAGGGTATAAAGGTCCATGGAAAGTGCAGGAGAGTGTACCAGAATAATTCCTTGCTATAATCAATGACATCTTTGTTTTCTGTCAGGCACTCTGCCTCGCCAAGCATAGAACACTCATGTCTAAACAATGTCGAACATGAACTGGATGTGGTTGTGAACAAGCTTGTCTCGCTTTTTCTTCAAGATAAATGCCCAAACTTTAAAAAGCTCCTCTGGCAGCAGCAGCGTCTGCACTAGCACCAAAACATATGAGAGATGTTGAAAATTCTGTAACCTGTCCAGTTCCTCGTGGGTCACAGAGACCCAGCTTTGCCTGTGAAGATGGGGAACGTGAGCAATAAATGACTCCAGTTCTTCAAGAATCAGGTTTTCCATCCTTCTTTTAAAGTCAAGTATTTTGAGTGAAATTAAATTTAGGTAATGTGGCAAGCCTCAGTTTAATTTTCTGTTTAAAAATAAGTTTCCATCAGCTGGCATCATTTACTTATTTTCTCCATTTATCCAGTTTAAATAATTCAGAGGCAGTGTTTTGGTGCTTAATTGGGCAAGGCATTAATGACCCTGGTGAAAATGAGAGGGAATGGCTGTGTTTCTAACAGGTCCATGCCTGTTAGATTCTCTTTTCTGAAACGGGAGAGTTATTTATTTATTAAAAATTATTGACCCAAATAAATTGTCTGAGATTCATTACTGCATCACCAGGTGGGGCCCTGGGCTGGGAGCTTAAAGTGACCAATACCTTATATTATCCTGTTCACCAGTTTTGGAGAAAGGTCATGTAAAGGAACACGCCCCAATAGCGAGTCAAGAATGAAGGGTGCAGCCTCAGCAAATTCAGAGATCTGTATCACTACTTTGGTGCCATTTAGTTATTTAAATGGTCATCATTCATAAGTGATGGTGGGTAACAAGTTTTAAAAAATTGAATTCCCAAAGCTGCCTCTTCTGATTTCAAACTATTTTTTGTTGCTCACTTATCCTCCATACTTCTCTCAAAACCATGATGTGTGGGAGAAAGATGGAATTTGGAATTAGGCAGGCATGAATTCATATTCTGTACAATTAGGTGAATGTGGATGCTACTCAACCTTTCTTTGGCAGTAATCTGGGGAAAATAACACCTGTTATTGCAAGGATTAAATGATGTATGAATGCAAAACCCCCATTGCAAAGCCTGGCACCAAGTGAATGGGGGCCCATTAACTCTTGGGTTGCTTTAGGCATTTCTGCATCTGCAATGGCCGAGCACAAGTAGAGGGCGCAGCAGTGTTCCATACAGAAGACTTTCTCTCAAGCAACACAAATCAGGGTTCTGACTGGCACTTCAGAGACTTGGGAAGTAGGGATGAAAGGGAGACGTTTTTATGTTTACTGAACATTGACTATGTGCCAGGCACCATGTTGAGTGTTTCCAATACATTTTCTCCTTTTCTTCTTGTAATGCTCATATGAAGTAGGTGTAATGCTCCTTATTAACCACCCCAAGAGAAAGTGGACTAATGCAACAACCATTTATTATTTCTCATGAGTCAGCTGGGAAGCTCTGATGTGGGTCAGGCTTGGCTGATATGCGCTGGGCTTGTTCATGTGTCTATGTTCAGCTGAGGGAGGTGGTCATTGGGTGACCACCCAGGATGGCCTTGGCTGGCTGGACAGCTCAGCTCTACTCCATGTGGTCTCCTCTCACCTTCCTGCACGTTTCCCGGGGCTTGTTCTTGCCGTGGTGAGAGGGGTCCAAGAGAGGAAGAGGAAACATGCATTTACTGTCTTACTGGCCAGAGCAAGGCACGTGGTCAAGCTCTGAGTTGGGGGGCAGAGTACATCTAAAGGGAATGAATTCTGGGGGGACATGAACAAATAGGGGCCATTAGTGAGCTTTATCTTCCACAATAGGCACTGTTATTACCCCCGTTGGTAGAGGAGGAGATGGAAGCTAGCAATGCTGTGCTTCTTGGTCACTGGCCTGCCCCCTGGTGTTTTTCTGTGCTGTGTTTTGTGTTGATCTACTCGGGGTGGGGATGCTTTCCAATCAGATGTATTTCCTTCTTTCTCATTGTTTGGTCTGCATTTGAAATTTCACGTAAAATTCTTGGCAGTAACCAGATGGTCTTAAAGAAACTCGGCAGAATGACCTCAAGGGACAGTGCAGGTAAGTTAGTAAGGTAAGTCTACTTATTGGAAAATGAAGGGGAGGCAGATACGTAATTGGATGGAGCATAAACGGAAGAAAATGAGACAGATTTATATTTCTCCTCTATTTGTTGATGTCCGTGATCTTGCCTGGGTCAGCTTCCCCTTCTCCATGCCATCCTTTCCAGATCCTGACCTGAAGTCTGAAGAAGGCAAGAGCCTCTTGCTGGCCCGAGGCATTTATTAGTCCTTTGACCTTGGGCAAGGAAGTCACCTGACTTCCGTGAGCCTCCCGGTTTGCTCCTGTGTGAAATGACAACAGCACAGATATTGGTTTTGTGCATTAAAAGAGATCTGCAGGTGAAGCACCCTGCCCAGGCTGAGCCTCCCTGCAGCCACCAGGATTCATGGCTATCCCCCAAGCACCTCTCGGTGCCTAGAAATGCAGAAAAGTCGGTCTGCACAACTGCAGTGTCTCCGGCTCTGGGTAAGCTGCCAGGGCAGTGCAGAGCTGCTGAGCAGCACGAGGGCTGTTAATGGATTTTATGGCTTTGTTGAGTACCCCAAACTACAGCTATTAATTATAGGATGCTGTTTAGACACCATTGCAACATATACATTTTGTTAATTGATTTGTATAGGCTCATATCTAGCAACATAAAGAATGTGCAGGGCCATAACACTTACAAAGGATTGTAATTGCTTTTTACTGCCATCGCCGGCTTCTCAGGAACAAAGGCTTTGAGGAGAGGACAGACAACTTTCCTTAGTCTTTTGGACCTCTAGTGTCTAATTTAGTGGCCTGTGGCAGGATGACACACTGTCTAGGTGCTCAATAAACGTGTTGAATCAATGAATAAATAACTTTCGTTTGTTTCTATGTTTCTCTGTTTCCTTATCTATTCCTTGTGAACTCTGACCTGTGTGTGATATTGGCACTGCATGTAAGTATACGCAAATATGGTCAAGGATTTATTAGTTAATGTTTACGGAGTAGCTCGATGAACTTTGTGTGGCCTGGGGGTGGTGAGGGGCCGTCAAGAGTTCACAGCCCTTGCACTCGGGAAACTGACAATTACTCAATGGCATGTGTTGTTACGAGGCATGACGTCAGGTGGCTTGGTCTCAAGATACGTGGAGTGAACAGAAGGATGGTAACTTCTTGCCTGGCACCACACTGCAGGGAAGTTTCTGTCCCACTGTAGCCTTGTCAGGCCCAGCACCCCCAAATCTGCCTTCTGTGATCTGGTCCACCAGCCTCCAAGATGGTGCAGAGTCCCGCCATTGCCATTGCCCTCGGGTCCTTGGTGATTTACCCGGCTCCGCAGCTCAGAGCAGAACTCGCGCTTTCAGCTCGAGCGTGTGCCTGGCGCCCTCCCCAGACCAGGCGGCATAGAATTTCCAGAGACTAGACCAAGGGCAGGACCCGCAGCAACGCCCGCCTGCCCCTCCACACCGCTGTCAGCTCCAAGGGCGTGGCGGGGCACGATGTCCTGCGTCCCTGCAGACGACGCTCAGGCCCCAGGTGACTTCTGAGGGAGCCGGCCACCCACTGAGAGCCGGAGCAGGGCCGCAGGGCCGGAGGGCTCGCGGTAGCCCTCCCCGGATCCTCTGGGAACGGAGTCCCTCCTGGAGTAGGAGGAGTGGAGCAGAAGCGCCCAGGAGCTCGAGAACGGCGGAGGAAAGTTGGGGGTCGGGGCCGCGGAGCCGCGAGCGCAGAAGCCGCTGCCAGTGTCCGCGTCTCATGAATATGCAGGAGCCACCTCCCTCCTTCCGTGACGTCACGGGCCGTCCCGGGGTGAGCGCCGGAGCCGCTCGGGGTCCGCGCCAGTAAGCGCGGCTGCTGCCGGCGAGCGAGCGGCGCGGCGGCGGACACCGGAGGCCGAGCGCGGCGGCGCCCGAAACGCACGCAGCGGAAGGGCGAGGCTGCCCGCAGCCCGGCCGACAGCGGGAGGCG